AAGGTGAAGAGTTTGTTCTCCATCGCCCGCTCTATACGGTTTACAACTGTGTGTAGGGCCGTATCAGTGGATCTTCCTTGGATGTAGGCATGTTGGTTCGGATGTAGAGGTTGCTTGCTCAAAGCAGTCTCCCGAATCTCTTTTTCGCTTAGTCTTTCTAGCGTTTTCAGCAAGAATGATGTTAAGCTAATTGGTCTGTAGGATTTAGCCAAGGTGTAATCTTGTCGTCCTGGCTTAGGTATAAAGATAACCTTTACTTTTCACCATCCATTCGGTATGTAGCTGAAAGCCAGACACGCCCGAAGCATTGGCAACAAAGTAGGGCGTAGTCTGCTCATTCCCCTCTGCAAGAGGGCGGGATAAATACCGTCAACTCCCAGAGATTTGTATGGGGAAAGACTGCCCACTGCCCACTCCAGTCTTGCCTCCGTGACTACCTTTGCCGCCAGCGTCCAGTCCTTCGGGAAACGTTGAATACCGGCTACTTGATTTCTAATGTTATTGGGGGCTGACCCTAGCCAGCCGACACTTAGGCCTCACCTTTGGGCCCATTGTATCTTCCCCAAGTCCATATCACGGTGTTTTCTCGTTTCTCTACTCGTCAAGCCACCTAACTGATTGAATGTACTTGAGTAATGCAGAGTTTGCATTGGTAGACATACATTTCGTAACTCCAATCGTTTGTGTAACGCATAAAACAAAGATCGCTATTGTAATAGTTGTCTGAGTTTGTAAGTTTTTTTTTTTTTATTATTTTAAAAAGATAAAGACATTAACCGCACCGGGTTATTAGTCTCCGGTAAAATAAGGTTGAACAAAAAACATATTAAATTTGTGAGTACAGCTGGGTTGCCTTAAGAAAACTAAGGGCTCGATCTTCTGCTGCAGAAGAGTTCGCTAGAAGACCCTCCAGAGTAAGATCCGAGCCTAGGATAGTTTGGTGCTTAGTGTACTTGGCACAGAGTGTTAACAGATGCTCAACCGTGAGAGGCACATTACAGGTTGAACAAGATAAAAAGAGGTTGCCAGTGAATCGGCAATAATGCGTAAGTCTGGTGTGCCTTAGTCGAAGACGTGCCAAGACAATTTCATCCCTTCGTGAGTGAGGACAGTGCACCCAGGTGATTTGCCAGTTGTGATAAAGACGCTCCTTGAGGTGTAATTTGACATCGGAGCCCGTAGAATGTGAAATCAATGTAGAGGTTGGATGGGTGATTGCAAGTTTAGCAGCTGCATCGGCTTGATCGTTACCATCAATATCTTGATGAGATGGAGTCCAGAGGAAATGGATGTCTTTGCCGGTTTGGTGGAGAAGAGCAAGTTGGTAGTGGATTTGTTGTACTAGAACGCAGGTTGGATACATTTGCCCCAGCAATTTTAAGGAGTTCATGGAGTCAGTACAGATGACGATGTTATGGCGTTTTACGCAAAGAATCATCTTGGACCGCAGCAGAGATGGCAACAAGTTCCGCTGTTAGAATGGAGCTAGTGCCTGGTAGACAATAAAGCTGCTCACCTGATGGAATAGCGTAAGCTGCACCAACGCCTTCTGTTGTCTTTGAGCCATCCGTGTAAACGATTAACGAATCAGGAATGCCAGGAATTATTAGAGATGACCGAGGAATCACCAAGATGAAGAGTAAATTGGAGGTAGCCGCGAACCCAAGGAGGGAAAATTTGGGGCGGTTTAGGAAAAAACACAGGAAGTGAATAGTTCAGCTCACGAAGGAGCAATGAAAGACGACGGTAAGCAAGAGAGCATAGAGACGTTTTTTTTAGTAAAGATGAGCTGTGACCGTGGGGAAAAGAGGAGTTCACGGAGTGGATGAGCTACATCGGCAGCTATTTTTAAACTATAAGATAGCAAAAGGAAGTCACGACGTAATAAGAGCGAAGGTTCGGCAGCTAAACAGTAAATGTATCAGTGGCGGCTGGTAAGTCAAAATTTCGGGTCGGCCAAATATTTTGAGTCTACACCTTGGTGTTATATATTTTCGTAATGTATGGCCGCTACTCGTTAACCACTAACATTTTACGTGCCAGGGTGTACAAATCATCTCGAATTTTTTTATAGGAAATTGACAATGTCAGTTTGATTCCAAATCTTTAATTCTACTTGTTCTGCTTTATCATTAATAGGGAACCACCGAACAAATTATTTTTACTGGGTTCCGCGTCGACCGGCGGCTATACGGCTTGCCGACCCCGGACATCCACAGTTAAATAATAATAATTAAATAATGACATGTAGTTAAAAAATATAAAAAAAGTAATAATAAAAGAACCAACTGTTAACTATCTTCCTTTACATTTAATTTTTTTTAATATATATGGCAAATTGTTAAATAAATTAACTGAATAATTATTGAATTAAAATTCAAATGATTTAAAACTTTAAATTCATTTCTGAAATATCTGAAAACGCTTAGATGCTAAAAATACAGAAAAAGCGCATTTATGTTGTAGCTAAGTTATGTACGAACAATAAGATTTTAGATAATTTAATGTAATTTTTTTCGTTTATTATTCATACACAGGAAAATGTATTAAATCAACAATTGTTATTAAAAAAAAAATAGTATGCACTGAAGAACATCGAAGCCGTTATTGTTTTGTAATTTTTTTAGTTATCTTAAATATTAAGCGTTTTAAAAACTAAATTAGCATTGCTGGGTACGGCGAAGGAGGATCTCGCCGGGCCTGGCACAACATACGTTCCGCCAGGTGTTTGTCTACTACAGTGTAGTAGACAAAGAGAACGATGAAACCGTAAGCTGCTACGAAGTCGAAACATCGAGCATTATGCATTCCTGGATACGGCGTGCCAAAATCTCGCCGGCAAAGCGTGTTTATCAGTATCTAAAATTAACAACAAATGCTTTATTTTGTACCTACAATATAATAAAATATATTTTTTAATATATATGTTCTATCCTAACGTACATTCAAACTTTATTTCTTTTTTTATTTTCTAATTTCAACGCTTACGAAGTATTTTAAAATGAGTAGTACGGCGTGGCCGACTCTGCCGCCCCTGAAATGTATGATACTTTGGTCACATGTTTGTAATGATACATAAATCGGACTATAGGAAAGAATTGCAATTAAAACTGTATTCATCATTTTATTGTTATCATCTGTACAATAACAAGCAACAAAGTAATGACTGTATTCATTATGCTAGAAACTTTTGATCTGTTTATATAAAAAAATCCAGCGCCATTAAAATAGGGCCGATATTTCGAAAAAGAGCAGATTGACACTTTTTGGTTTAATAAATGTCTGTTCTTATGTAATATAAATAGAATTTCATCATATATGTAAATAATGGAATCATACAACCATATAATATGTAGCAAACCTACCTAAAAAAAAGTCAATGTCCTGGAATTTAATACTGAGCAAAGCAAATATTACTCAGAAAAAAAATGTAACGGAAAAAGCACACACGATGAAGAATATGTCCCAAAGTGATGTGTAATGAAACCCTGTTAACAAAAGTTCTACAACCATGAGAGTGGCGTTTACAATTACGAAAATATGTAATAGAAGTACCCATCCAAACATATCATTAAATGCGTCAACACCTTGCTGAAGCGAGAACATCTTCACTGTAAACACTTCAAGTGACCAAAATTCACTGGCGTGATTTTCGCGCAATAAAATCATGTGATTTCTGTATTTTTCGTGTAACATGTGTGCAAAAACATAAACAAGAAACAGATAAACGTACATTGAATATACTCTGAATATTTCTATTAAATCTATTCTTAAAAAAAGCATACCGACCAAAAATACTAGACTTAAAGCCCATATAGTAATTCCAACACAAAATACAAAGCATGTGACTGCGAAAGCGTAAAAATAATGTTTCCTTTCGTCATTTTTTGTACATTCATTATTTAATATGTTTAATAAATCCAACCATCTGTTGTACTTGGATATCATCAGAACAACGAAAATATAGAAATTATGAACGTAAAGAGTAACATCATTAATTAAGTGAAACATGATCTTTAAATAGTTCAGGTTTTGGAAAGTTTTACTCTTCACGTATTGCCCATACAAAAAAGCGATGGTGTAAATAAAAAATGCAAAATATTGTTGGTTTTTGTGGGGATTGCTAAACATCATATTGTTTGGTGTTGGTGGTGTTAGTTTAAATACCGCTCCAATAGAGAAAACAATTTTTAAAACTTGCATGTCACTTGTAAGTGCATAGGTTGTTCTGAGTAGTTGTTGTTATACGCATTAAATATTCCAACAACCTTGATATTGATCAACGAATGCTTTTTTATTCTGTACCTTCGAAATTATTTGTTATCAAACGGAACAAACAACGTTGAAGAAAACAGACTACTACATATTTAAAACTCTACACGTTGAAGTAATAATAAACTCTTAATTAAAATGTGTACAATTTTAAGGACTATTCAATTGCACTAAACTTTATCGACTATTTTAACAAAAACTTCAGTTTTGTTGCCCTTAATAAGTGGATTTTTATTTCAGCTACATTTAAATTTAAATTTATTAAACCAAAAGAAATTGGATTTATTTGTTAAGGAGTATCCTATTGTAGGTATATAGAGACAGTTACGGAGATCTTTTGTAAGGCAACTTACTCCTCTTATCGAAACCACCAAAACGCCCAGACTTTTGGAGTCATCTCCAAATAACTTAACCATTAAAAACACGCATAACCTTGCGATTACGATGTTTTGTTGGTCCGTCTAAATTCCAGTTTGGCCACGATATTCAACTTACACCGCCAGGCAAAATTGGCCCCAAGTACTTACTCTAGGCACCGTCGTCACTCCGCTGCCCGATGGCTTTAATCGTGTAGGTTATCGCTGCCTCAGTTAACTATTTATTATACACCTGTGCAATATTCTGCCCTCGTATCGGCTAATCGGGAAATATCTTAGCGGTGGATCTATTAAATATGGCGGATATCCCGCCATTTAATAGATAAATCAGTTCCGGAAAATACAGTAAAGTCACACAAATCCATATGGAGTCAAACGAGTGTTGGGTGCTTTCAAAGATATTAAGACAGTTGCAGGCTATACCAAAAAAGCGAAAAATAAGTTCTCTTGTCCTAATTGATATGTATTAATAAAAACGAGCACGTGTTGATTTGTATTTATTAGGTCACTCACAATTCATGTCTTACCTACTCGACTGTCTGTCTCCAAGAGGACGAGTCCTTACAAAAAACATCAGGATGTTTTGCTGATGCGCAGTGGCATTCCTTAACATCTTATTATTAACCTACTTCCTACTTAACCTACTGTATACTTAATCTACGCCTTGATTAATACATTACATATCCCGCCTAAAATTAATTCCTAATCTCTGTAACGTGCTGGGATGTTACAAGAACGCTTTGGTCTATCGCGTACCGGGATAACTGGAATAGGGTTGAGTTGCGGTTCAAGAGATGGTGTTTGTTCTAGTAGTGGCGGTGTGGCTGATGGCATTGTTGGTTCCCCAGGCATCTTCCTTTGTGGTACTGCTTTGTTTGTATTCGCTGGCTGTACTGTCTCTGACTTGCTGTCCTCAGTGCTTGGTACTTCAATTCTTTTTCTAATTTGGTCAACGTGTCTCTTCCATTTTTGTCCGTCTGGTAACTCGCACGTGTAGTTTCGTGGTCCCAATATGTCGATGACCTTTGCTTCCTGCCAAGTTTTGGTGTTAGGCTTCCGATAGTCCCGAATCCATACTATACTTCCCTTCTCAAATGTTGGAGAATCTCGACCTTTATGGTTAAATTGCCTTCCTGTGTCTCGATTTGTGCCAGGTCTCATTAAGTTGAGCGTCGTGTGCAAATGTCTACCCAGCCTCAATTTCGCTGGCGCTTCATTCGTTTGACAGTGCGTAGAATTTCGCTGCCTTGAAGCCTTTCTTACAACTTCTTACTGCATTTTCTGCCGGTCCATTTGTCTCTGGTTTGTACGGCCGTCCGGTAACGTGCCTTATTCCATTTCTTTTAAGGAAAACTGAAAACTCCTCTGATGTAAGCTGTGCACCGTTGTCTGATACCAAAGTCTCTGGAATTCCCCATCTTGCACATGTTTCCCTGATTTTGCTAATTGTTGCAGCGGACGTGATTGAGTTCATTTTAAAAATTTCAGGCCATTTACTATAAGCATCCAACATAATGAGGTAGTGGCTGTTATCAATCGGTCCAAGGAAATCGATGTGCACTCTTTGCTACGGACCGTTGGTCTATTCCACGGAATTGGGATCGTTTTCTGAGGTTCCTTTGCGACTTTATTGTTTGGAATGCAGCTACGAGCTATGTTCTCAATGTCCTTGTCCAAATTCGGCCACCAAAAATAGGCTCTGGCTATAGATTTCATTTTGACAATACCCAGGTGACTGCTGTGTAGTTCCTCTAACAAGTGACGCTGCAGCTTCCTGGGTACAATTACTGTGTAGCCCCACATCAGACATCCTTGTTCGCAGGTTATCTCGTCTTTCCTCTGGACGAACGGTTTTAGGAAATCGTCTGGCCACCCCTCAGTTACGAACTTTACGATCTTACTAAGCGTGGGATCACGACGTGTGGCGTTCCCTCTGCAATTACTAGGTTAAGATACGTTGTCTCCGTAACCTCTTCAGATTCGCCTGGTGTTTCTGAGCACAATGGATGTCTTGACAACATGTCAGCTACACTGTTCGCCTGGCCTTTGACGAACTTGATTTTATATTGGAATCCAGATAGATAGAGTGTCCACCGTTGGAATCTAGCTGATGCCATTTGTGGTATTCCCTTTTGCTCTCCAAAAAGGTAGATCAGTGGCTTGTGATCCGTGTGTATTTCAAAGCTATGCCCTACTAGATATGTCCTAAGTTTTGATGTCGCCCAGTAAATCGCCAAAGCCTCTTTATCAAGAACCGAATAATTACCTTCTGCATTGCTTAAAGTCGTGGAAATGAAGGCTATTGGTTTTAAGTCTCCATTCATCATCTTGTGAGATAAAGTGGCTGCAATTCCATATTGTGAGTCATTCGTTGATAGAATTATCGGTCGTGAAGGCTCGAAGTGCTCTAGTACCCTACCTGACGCTATTTCCTGCTTAATGAGGTTGAACGCTTGTTCGCAACCATGATCCCAAGCAAACTTCCTGTCGCTTTTTAACAGCTCGTAAAGAGGCCTCATTATTCTTGCAAATTTTGGTACAAACCTGCTATAGTAGTTTACTAAACCAACAAAGTTTTTACCTGCCGCACATTCCTTGGCCTGGGTGCTTCAAGCATGGCTCTGATCTTGTCCTTATTGGTCTTTAATCCTTCTCTTGAGATTATATATCCTAAATATTTTATTTCATTTTTGAAAAATTCGCACTTTGATAATTTCAAAACAAAGCCTACCTCTTTCAACCTTAGAAAACTTGCCTCAAGTTGTTTTTGTGTTCTTGTCTGGTTTTGCCAGTGACTAGTATATCATCTAAAAAGTTGGTCACCCCGACGAGTCCGCTTTACGTTTGCTCTAATGTGCGCTGGAATATTGCGCTTGCTGGTACAATCCCAAAAGGCAGCCTATTTACCTTGTATAGACCCTTGTGCGTGCTCCATGCCAGTAATTTGGCTGATTCCTGGTCCACGACTAACTGTTTGTATGCGTCGCTTAAGTCAATCTTGGTGAACGATTTACCCCCATTCAACTGCATAAATATTTACTCTATTCTAGATAAGGGGTATTTCACCTCCCTGAGATGCCTGTTCACCGTCACTTTGTAATCGCCACAAATTCCGATGTTACCATTTGCCTTTAATACTGGAACAATTGGTGTTCCCCAGTCTCCTTGCTCAATGGGAGAAATTACACCTTACTCTTCCAACCGCTGTAGTTCTGCTTCCACTTTTGATTTATAGGATAAGGGTAGGGCTCTAGGTTTGTGATAAATAGGTTTGGTGCTGTCGGATTTGAGTTCAAGTATAAACGTCCTGTGCTTGTAACATCCCAATTGCTTCAGTATTAAGTTCCCTGTAGTACATCCGAAATGTCCGTGATTGTGCTGAGGAACAAATTAGACAGATATATCCAGCAGAATTTTTCTACAGAAACAAACTTTGCTTTGGTGGATAGTTCTTGCTTTCGAGAATTTTTTTATTTAATTACAACGCCTTAATTTTTTAAAATAACTTTCAGCTTTCCTATTTTCTCGGCTTTATTTAAGCTATAATCTCGTGAGTAGGAATCAGTTGATGCACCTGCTTTCAATTCAGAACTACTATCTTTAGTTATTAATTCATTATTCATTGTCTGCAGAGGCATTAATAAAGCAGAATTTAAGTTAGTTCGCACAGAAAATTGTTGAGTGTCCATATGAAGCTGAGATGTGACTCTGAACTCTTTTGGTAACCACGTGGTAAGTGTCTCAAAGAGGTCTGATAAACACGTGTCAATACTTACTTAGTTGGCATTGCTTTGAAAAGATGTTAAACTTGTTCTTTCAATAAAGTGGCACATATTAATTGCAAACTGTCGTGGTTTATATGTAAAACACATTGTATTCCGAATATAGTACTATGCAAATGGTATTAAAAACAAGCAACAAATAGGTGCACCTGCGACATAACTGAAATTAAAATTGTTTGCCCCATTGTATTGTAATCATCTGTAAAATAACAAGCACAAAACTAATGACTGTATTCATTATGCTAAAAATTGTTGATCTGTTTATCTGAAAAAATCCAGCGGCACTAAAATAAGGCCGATATTTTGAAAAAGCACGAACTGATATATTTTCGTTCAATAAATTTTTCTTCTTATATAATGTAAACAGAATCTGATCATATGTGTAAATAACGGAATCACATGTCGATATAATTGGCAACAAACCTACCTAAAAAATAGAAATTAGTGTCTTGCCATTTAATACAGGACTAATGTTACCCAAATAAAAAATATAAGAAAGAACAAACATAAGGTGAAGAAGATATCCCACAGAGTGAAATGAAAATCTGTTAACAGAAGTTCTATAAATACAAGTGTAGCGGATACAACTGCGAAAATGTGTAACAGAAGGACCCATCCAAATATGTCGTTAAATGCATCAACACTTTGCTGAAGAGACAGCATCTTTGCTGCAAATTTTTTCAGTGATCGGACAGAACTGGTGTGATTTTTACGCAGCATGATCAAGTGATTTCTGTATTCTTCGTGTATCATGTTTGCGAAAACATAAATAAGAAACATATAAACATATAATGTATATACTTCAAAAACATCTAGTAGCAATGTTTTTAGAAGAACCATACCGACCAAAAATCCAAGGCTTGAAGCCCATAGCGTAACCCCCATAAAAAAGATAAAACATGTGACGAAAAAAGCATAAGTGTAATGTTTCTTTTCTTCTATTTTTGTATTTTCATTATTTAATCTTTTTAGTAAAACCAACCATCTGTTGTACTTATGTATCATCAGAACAACTAAAATATAGAAATTGTGAACATAATGAGTACCACCATTAATCAAGTCCAAAATGTTTCTTAAATAGTGAAGGTTTTGGAAATGTTTGCTTTTTTCATATTGTTGATACAAAAAACCGACCGTGTAAATAAACAATATAAAATATTGCTTGTTTTTGTGGGGATTGTTAACGGTTAAATTTGTTGGTGTTGGCGGTGTTATTTTAAACACCGATCCAATGTAAAATACAATTTTTAAAACTTGCATGTCGCTTGTAAATGCATAAGTTGTTCTGAGGTGTAGTTGTTGTGCTTCGGATTAAATATTCTAGCAACCCTGATATCGATTACTCTAAGAATGCTTTTTAGTTCTTTACGTTAGAAATTTTTTGTTTTCAAACAGTACAAACAACATGGAACAAAACATAAATTAAAACTGTGCAAGTAATTGTAAATTCTTAACTAAAGTATGTACAATTTTGAAATTAACTATATACAAAAATAAACTTTATATCAAAAAGACATCATTTTAGTCCAAATTTTGGTTGTCCTCTAAATACAAATTTATTATTTAAAAAAAAATACAATTATTGTATAAATTTTTTATTATTATGCTTTACAACTATTGTTGTGTATTTAAAGTATTAGAGGGGGCCAAAATTCAGTCAAATCTGCGGTGCTACCGGTCGTGCTGCTGCTGTGATTCGCGATATTCTTCCAACTTGAATCGCTGCCCGAATGTCTGCTGAATTTTGAAAAAAGCCGGACTTGGAAAATTTTCCATATTGAGTTTTTTTTCCTCATTTTATTGTTATCATCTGCAAAATAACAAGCAAAAAAGTTACAACTGTATTCATTATCCTAAAAATTGTTGATCTGTTTAGAGGAAAAAATCCAGCGGCACTAAAATAAGGTCGACATTTTGAAAAAGAACCCACTGACACTTTTTGGTTTAACAAATTTCTGTTTTTATATAATAAAAACACAATTTGATCATATGTGTAAATAACGGAATCACATATCCATATATTAGGTATCAAACCTACCTAAAAAAATAAGAAATAAGTGTCTTGTCATTTAACACAGCACCAATGTTACCCAAATAAAAAATGTGACGGAGAAAAGACATACGATAAAGAAGATGTCCCATAGAGATGTGTAGTGAAACTTTGTTAACAAAAACTCTATGAACATAAGAGTGGAGTTTATAATTACGAAAATGTCCAACAGAATCACCCATCCAAACATATCATTAAATGCATCAACGATTTGCTGAAGAGAGAGCATATTTTCTGCAAGCTTTTCCAGTGATCGAATAGAATTTTTACGCAGTAAGTTCATGTGATTTATGTATTTTTCGTGTATCATGTTTACAAAAACATAAACAAGAACGTATATATTTGAAAAATGTCTATTAAACATGTTCTTTTAAAAATCGTACTGTCCAAAAATCCTAAGCTTAAACCCCATAGAGTAACGCAGGCACAAAAAACAAAACATGTAACGAAAAAAGCATCAACGTAATGTTTTCTTCCGTCTATTGTTGTATTGTCATTGTTTAATATTTTTAATAAAACCAACCATCTGTTGTACTTGTTTACCATCAGAATTACGAAAATATAGAAATTATGAACATAAACAATAACATCATCCACTACGTGAAAAATTTTCTTTGCAAAGTTAAAGTTTTGGAAAAGTTTGCGTTTCTCATACTGTCCATACAAATAAGCGACGGTGTAAATAAAAAAATGCAAAATATTGCTGTTTTTTGTGGGGATTGTCAAACGTCAAATTTGTTGCAGTTGGTGTTATTTTAAACACCGCTCCAATATAAAAAACAGTTTTCAAAACTTGCATTTCGTGATTATAAATACACAAATTGTTATGAGCAATTGCTCTAGTCCTTAAATATTCTAACAACCCCCATATTACTTCTTATTAATCAACGAATGCTTTTTTATTCTGTACCTTCCAAATTATTTGTTATGAAACGGAACAAACAACCTGAAGGAAAAAATTGATTACCATTTAAAACTGTGTGTATAATAATACGTTAACGCAATTACAGACTCTTAACTAAAGTACCCTTGTACAATTTTGGAGCAAATTGTGGGAGTTGAATAAGAGGATAATGAAGTTTAATATCAATTAATAACCGGTTTTATTATGACGACATCCGAGCAGACCGGACAACAACTCTGACTAATTTATGCCTATCGAGACTAGAGCTCAAGTCGCGAAAATGGGTGCAAGACTGGAAAAAATGGGGGCAGAAATGAAAGAAGAAATGGGCGCAAGAATGGAAAAAATTAACCAAAAAAGGGATGCAGGAGATGAGAAAATGAAGGCGACAATAGAAGAAGTGAATGGAAAAATGGAAATGATGGACACAAAAATAGACAAGCAAAAAGATGACATATTCACCAGCCTAAGTGAAAAATTCCAGAAGGAAGTGGAAGCAAACAAGAATGCAATAGAAGAATTCAGACAAGATGTGAAGGACCTAAAAACAAATTGGAACATATGGAAAATATTGTTGGACGAAATATAATTGCAATGGAAAACAACATGGAAGATCGAATAAAAACTATAGAAAATCGAATGAAGACATTTGAAAAGACAATAAAAAATACAGCAACCACTGGTTCCTGTTATGTGACAACTTGGTCATCGTACAAAAAACCCTTGGGAAGAAGAACAGAAAGTTACAGTCTTGGTAACAGCGTTGTGAGGTGCAGCGCTGGAGATACTCCAAACTCTGTCTGAAGAAGATAGAAACAGATACAGTGCCCTAACTGCTGCTCTGGAACTTCGATTTGGGGATGAACATCTAAACAAATTTTTGCCGCTGTTTTATATTGGTTTTAGAATATTAATAAAACCAGTTATTTGTTTATTCTAATCTCTTACGTATCTAACAACATTCTCTAAGCCTACTTCTATAACACCCCCCTTCTTAATTCTAATACTTAACAATTAGTACAAAATATAGTCTTTAAATCGCGAGGGTGTTCTTCGTTGTCTCTGACTAACACTTTGCTTTGGTACATCTATAAATTTGTCATCATCATTGTCGTCACAGTTAATAATAGGAACGTATTCGTTAAGAGAATCCCTTAAATGTATACTATTTCTTCTCAACAATTGGCCTTTCCTATCTTTTACAATATATGACCTAGGTTCATTACATTTCTTTACAATTTTTGCCGACTCCCATTTACCTCCCTTTTGTAAGGTAACATTTTAATTGTTCACAAAATTAGGTTTAGCTTTTGTAGTCCTGTCATAGTAGTATTTTGTCTGTTGTTGTTTGGTGTGTAATTTCTTGATTACATTGTTTGGATCAACTGTATTAAATTCTAAAGTACGTTGAGGAACTGGCAGTTTGGTGTTGATGTTTCGATTAAAAACTAATTCTGCAGGAGATAGACCTACACCAACAATTTTTGTCGATCTGTAAGACATTAAACCTGTTGTTAACTCACAGCTCTTTTTTAAAAGTGACTTGGCTAATTTTACCCCACTTTCTGCAAAGCCATTACTTCTAGGATAATGTGGACTACTTGTTGTTATTTTAAACCGATACTCATCCGAAAATTTTTTGAAACTATAAGAAGAATATGGCATATTATCAACTATCAGTAAATCCGGTATTCCAAAGTCAGCAAAACATTTTTTAAACTGCTTTATCAATTCAACTGAGGTTTTCTCTCTAATTGGAACTACATCAAGCCATTTAGAGTAATAGTCAAAAATTATTAAATAATTATTCTTTGCATATTCACATATGTCTGAACCTATTTTAGAAAATGGTCTACCCGGTAAAGGATGACTTATCAATGGTTCTTTTGCATTTGATGAACGATTTGATTCACAAATTTTACAACTTTTAATAAATGTGATAATCTCTTTATCATAATTTGGCCAGTATAATGCTTCTTTTGCTCGACTTAAAGTTTTATTAACACCGAAATGACTTTCATGAAGTAAATTCAACATACTTCTACGTAAACTTGGTGGTACTAACAACCTATTTTTAAACAAAATTATTCCGTCAACAATAGTCAAGTCGTTTCTAACACTATGATAAAATTTTAAAATTTTGGAATTGTCATCAATATCATGTATTTTATTGGGCCATTCAGTTAAACAATATTCTTTTACTTTATTTAGAACAGGATCTGCTTGAGTTTCCTTTTGAAATGTTACTTTTTTATTCTCTGAAATGTTACTTTTTTATTCTCTGAAATGTTTACAATTGCATGTATGTTATGTACTACTTCAAGCATCGATTCATCATCTTCCACTGGATCATTTAAATAATTTCTGGACAACAAATCAGCAACATGTAAAAATTTTCCTGGCATATACTCACATTTTATATCATACCGTACCAATTTTAATTTAATTCTTTGCAACCTAGGAGAAATGATGTCAGCAATTTTTTTATTCATTATTGAAACCAGTGGCTTATGATCAGTACAGATTGTTACTTGCTTGCCATATATATAATTATGAAATTTTTTTACTGCAAACGCCATAGCCAAAAACTCTTTTTCAATTTGAGCATAATTTTGCTCTGCTGTTGTCATACTACGCGATGCAAACGAGACTGGTCTTCCTTCTTGCAACAAGCAACAACCTAAACTACTCTTAGAAGCATGTGTATGTATCGTTATTTCTTTTTTATCATCAAAATTTGTCAGCACAGGTGCTACAGTAAGCATATTTTTGATTTGATCATAAATATTTTGATGTAGTTCAGTCCATGAAAAAATTACATTATTTTTTAATAAATTTCGCAATGGATCTGTAATTTCTGACAAATTAGGCAAAAAGTTTAGAAAATAATTAAACATGCCTAATACCTTTTGTAAATCTTTTTTATTTTTGGGTTCTTTTAATTGAATTATTGATTTAATCCTATCTGGATCTGGTTGCATGCCATCTTTTGAAAATAAATGACCTAAATATTTAACTTGACTTTTTCTATATTGTACTTTACTTCGATTAAATTTAATATTTAACTTTCTGGCTCTATCAATAACTTTATTGAGTATTGCATCATGTTCTTCTTCAGTCTCCCCTGCAATTAATAAGTCATCAATATATACAGTAACTCCCTCAATGTCTCCAAAATTGTTTGTATTTAATTTTTGAAACAACTCTGGTGCTGTTTTCAGACCAAAGGGTAACCTGTTGAATTGATAATACCCAAACGGACTACTGAATGTACAAATGTGCTGTGATTTATCATCAAGTTGCACGTGATAAAAACCATCTTTAAGATCTAGTACAGTATAGCAAAATTTATTTTTCAATTTTGCAGTTATTTCCTCCATTGTTGGCATAAGGCAATACCCCCTTTCGATATTTTTATTTATATCAGCTGGATCTAGACAAATTCTTAAACTACCATTCGGTTTTTCAACAATAACCAAATTGCTAGCCCATTCAACTGGTCTATTAACTTTACTTATTATACCTTTTTGCTCTAAATCATTTAAAGTCAATTTTAATTTATTTTTAATTGAAATTGGGACTCTTCTAGGTGGTCTGTTAACAGGGATCGCATTTTTTCTTAACAATATTTTATGTACACCTCCAAATTTACCTGTTCCCACAAACAAATCTTTATTTTCATCAAGAAAATTTTCATCAGTTAATGTTTTTAAATTATTAACTCTCTTGACGAGACCTAACTGAATGCACGCATTTAATCCCAACAAAGGTTGATTATTATTATTACACACATAGAAACTAATCCAGTGTCGTTTACCTTTAACAGTACAGTCCAAGTCAGTAAATCCTAAAGGCTTAATTTTATATCCTCCCCATGACTCTAACAACATTTTTGTGTCCCTGACTATCTTATTCATACACTTGAGTTGCCTCACTAACTTTTCTGGAATTGTTTTAACCTCCGCCCCAGTATCTAATTTCATTTTCACAACAGAACCGTACAATTTTACATCTTCATACCACGCTTTACCAACAGTGTTAACACCCGAACAATATTTCTTAATGCCTTCCACCATAAGCGTTGCTTCTGAACCACTAGCAGTGAATTCGTCATTCTTAACTTCTCTAACTTCCTTAACTCTACAACAAATTTTAAAGTGATTCATTTTACCACACCGGTGACACTTCTTTCCAAAGGCAAGACAATTACGAACACAATGCTTTGTTTTACACCTGGTACACAAAAATCTCGTTACTGTTTCTTGTTTCTTCTGACTATCGTCTTGCTGTTTCTTCTTATAAGTTTCTGAACTTGCATTCTTCTTCTGGAGTACTTCCACTGCTTTCGCTCCTTCTGTCTGCACCGTCTGTATATAGCCCTTGGCTGCTTCATTTGTTCTACACATGGTGACAACATCTGCTAGGGTGACACTTCCTTTAACAATTAACTTCTGCTGTACTTCTTTGTCAGATATTCCAAAGATTATCCTATCTCGTAGCATTTCTTCGGAGTCTTTGAATTCACATCTCTTAACTGCAGTCCTCAAATCATTCACAAAATGATCGAAAGATTCACCACACTCTTGTTTTCGATTGTAAAACAAGAATCTTTCATAAACTATGCTTTTCCTAGGATTAACATACTTCATAAACTCTTCCACGACCGTTTTATATACTTTCTTCTGTGCGTCTGTCAACTCAAAGTTACTATATATTTCAATACCCTCTTCTCCCAACACATTAAGCAGTATGGCAATTTTTACTGGAACCTCTTTTAGGCTTCCACCACTTGCCAGCATATAAACTTCAAATTGACGTATAAATTTTGTGAAATTTTCCTGCACATTTCCTTCAAAACTAAACTTTCTCGGCGGTTTGATATCCATTTTCTTCAACTATAATTATTCGTTCATCAAACTACTGCACCGACTACGCCATGTTTTATATTGGTTTTAGAATATTAATAAAACCAGCTTCTACAATTATTTGTTTATTCTAATCTCTTACGTATCTAACAACATTCTCTAAGCCTACTTCTACAGGGTGCCGCATCCAAGTCTGGATATAGGGAATTAACATGGGAATTGGTTTTTATTTTATAATGTCTCCCCAGATCACTTTAAAGCTATTATTGAGTGATGCCTTTGTGGAGGTCGAAGAGGGCTATCGACCAGTATTTTTTTCAAATCGTTGCATCGCGCTCATTCGCTGTAAAAAGGTTTTAATAATCGTATTTTGAAATTCGCGCCCGATCCGATTTGTCGCGAAATGTTCCGTCGCACTGTCGAAGTTCGGCGATCACGTCTTTGGAATAGGGAATGACCATGCAAAATCCAAATGTCAAAGTGAAGTTGGAAATTATTCTCAGAAATCAACGAACAACTCAAGCTGAATTATTTTATCCAGTGTGATGATTATTGTAAGTCAATTTAAACGGAATAAATGCACAACCAGCACAAAATAATTTATTAGGTTATGCTGTTCTACTGCGATTAGATGAAAAAGCGAGGGTCTGCTTGTTCTTCAACGGTTAATTTATTTAGTAGGTAATTTGGGTAAATTTCACTTTTTTTTCGAATCACTAAAGATTAGAAGTCAATTGATTTTACATTCGTTAAGCAGGGATGGAATTTTGCCACCTGGAAGCATGTTCGTTACAAGAAATTTTTGAGAGAGAAATGTAGAACATTGATTCATCAACATTTTAAAGTATTTTTCTCTATTATGAATGTGTTTTGGGATTCAGAAACTTTTGTATTACTGTTTTATTTGTTTATTTTGTTAACAACAACAAAAATAAAAATAATATTTCACAAAACAAAGTTACATTTATTTTCAAAGGTGATAAAAAGTAAATAAAATCAGGTGGGCACAACGTTTTCTAGGGATCTTAAAGAGATGGGATAGAAGAGTTTCAAAAAGCATCATGACAAAAAATTGAAGCCTAAGGACTACTTCTCACGTATGGAGTTTCACGAAAAAACGCTTGAGAAAATCTAGGCTGATGGAGAGTTTTTGAGGCACATTTGTTTTACTGACGAATGTTCATTTGGTCTTAAGGGAAGTTATAATCGTCAGAACGATCAAATTTAAGCATTACACAACCCTCACGTGGTCCATGACTATTGTTATCAATGGCGTACAACTGTGAGTGTATGACTGGGGCTTCTAGGACATCATGTCATTGCACCTTTTTTCATCGAATCCGGAATGAATGCTCAGAAGTAGGACAATATGCTAGCTCAGCAAATACTTCCTGGGACTCCAAGGGTGCGGCATCTGCAGCAGGTCTTTTACATCCAGGACCAAATCTCCAGCCATAGAGCTCTCATAAATGCTGTCTATTTGAACCAGTATTTTCCCGCAATGTTGGAATGAAAAATTTGCACTGCCCCATTGGCCTGTGCATTCGCCAGATCTAAATTTTTTCTTTGGAGATTTCTTCACAACCATCTGTATTCAAACAATACCAGCTATACAAACAGAGAAGCGCTGAAACAAGCAGTCCAGGAATATTGTCTTCAGATTGCAACTCAAATGCTGATCGACACACTTAGGAGTTTTGAAGATCGGCTTACTTACTGTACAGCTGCTGAGAGCAGTCTTTTTGAGCAATTCTTGAAAATAGTGCAATACTTCTCCAGATTCGTACAATATTTCATTACTTCATTCATCAACAATTGTTAAGTTTTGTTATTTGTAGTTATCTAAATGGTTCATTAAAAGGTTCTCTTCAAAAGCGCCAGCTGTTTTGATGGTCAATCTTATCATCACACAATAAGAAAAGCGGGCCCTCGCATTTTCATCTAATCGCAGTAGAACATGGCATTTTAATGAGATTTTAGTAATAAAGACTCGACCAGCACCAGCAACATAACCTAATAAAATATTTTGTGCAGTTTGTGAATTTATTCCGTTTAAATTGACTTACAATAATCGTCATATTGAATAAAATAATTCAATTTGAGTCCTTCAGTGATTAACTGAGTGAGACAGCGCGAGTACATTCCTAGCTTGAGGGCTCCCAGTACATGTCAAAATGCTGCCGATGGGGTTTTGAGGAAGACCAGCTGCTCTAAGTCTTCATCTCGGGATTTTTGGATACGGTCTGCGTGTAGTTCCGAGATGGCTCGTTTAACGGGGTCGCGCACTATGACGAATGAATGGATCAATTTGTGCATTTAAGTATTCCGTTTAATTTGTCCTACAATAATCATCACACTGTATAAAATAATCCAGTTTGAGTTGTTCGTTGATTTCTGAGAATAATTTCTAACTTCACTTTGACATTTGGATTTTGCATGGTTATTCCCTATTCCAAAGACGCGATCGCCGAACTTCGACAGTGCGAGGGACATTTCGCGACAAATCGGATCGGGCGCGAATTTCAAAATACGATTTTTAAAACCTTTTTACAGTGAATGAGCCCGATGCAACGATTTGAAAAAAATACTGGTCGATAGCCCTCTTCGACCTCCACAAAGGCATCACTCAATAATAGCTTTAAAGTGATCTGGGGAGACATTATAAAATAAAAACCAATTCCCATGTTAATTCCCTATATCCAGACTTGGATGCGGCACCCTGTATAACAGCCGCCCAACTCAAAACAAGAATACAGAAAACGGGGGAATTTCTACAAGAATTTGAAGCAGATATCAAGAGATTGGTACGTCTTGCATACCCTGACGCACCACCATCCTTCCAAGAGAGTCTTGCGACAGAAACGTTTGTAAATGGCATTCGCGACGGCGAAGTTAAGAAGATCCTACAAGTATCAACGTATCAGACATCATCTGATACCCTAATTCGTGGGCTGGAAGTGGAGGCGGCGTACAATTCTTCAAGAACATGCCACAAAGTCAGAGTGGCAGAACTAGAGATGTAAGAAAACGAAGGAACAAAGAAGATATTAGAAAAACTGTCACAACAAATGGTATATCTCAAGCATTGACGAATGGTATGCCTCGTAGAAAAAGCCTAGAATGCTACAGGTGTGGGCGCTAGGGACATCTCAAACGCGATTATCGTGCTCGATCACCAGCTCCGAGAAGAAGCACACAACAGAGATCTTCTCAACAAAATGTGCAGGAAAACTAAAAACAGCCAGTATTTTAGGGGATGTGCTGGCTGGTGTGAATAAGGCCTCCAAGGAAGTGAAGATAGGAAGTTTCCTCCGAGGCAGTAGTCCAACTATTCTTGCGCTGAGGTATCAATTATACGTCGAGGACTCGTGAGACCTAAAAACCTAACGACTTCTTCCGAAACAATCATGTCATCTTTCGAAAGTGGTGGCCGAACATCAGAAAGATTCGGATCGACACCTTCCACTGTTCCTTTTGGCTTATTGTTCACCTGTCCATGATACGACGGGTCAGACACCGGCGCGAATAGTTTTTGGAAGAGGACTTCATCTGCCTTGTGACATCTTGTTCAGCTCTCCGAGTAACGAACCAAAGGAGGTCATAGATTACGTCAATGACTTGAAGGAGAAGCTGTTGAGTGTTCACGAAACGGTGCACCACAAGATCTGGGTGGCGAGTGACATAGTGACAACACGCTACGATCTTAAGGGTAACATAGTAGGATTCCAAGCGGGCGAACTTGTATGGAATTATAATCCCCGCAGCAGAAAAGGTCGTTGCCCGAAGTTGTCACCAGATTAGGAAGGTCCATATACTGTAGTGACGAGAATCAACGATGTCGTTTACAGAATTCGACGAGGGCCGAAGACGAAAATGAAGATCATCCATTTAGACCGTCTCATGGAGTACAACAGGGACACCGTCGACGTTTCTGATAGGGACGATCAGAACTAAGGAGAGGGCAATGTTACGAAATAAACCCATACGCCGTCCCGGTGTGACGCCTATGGCCGTCGAGACCTTTCGGGTCTATACTCCGAACATCAACGACAATTACAGCGACAGAGCGGCGCGGATCGCCACAGAAACGCGTAGAAACGGAAGTCGTGAAGAATGCGCGTTCGGGAGAAGTCGAGAAGCGGTGACGTAGGGCTTCGAGAAGGACCGCGTACTGTTTAAATAGAGTCCACCCTTGGGGAACGGATTATTTCAGCTAGTTGAGTCAAGAGTGTGGAGTGAAATTCGCCGGAATAATTTCTGTACATAATCGTTGCAATAGTTCGTCGTGTAAATTAGAGTTATTAAGGAATAAATTGTTGAATTTTTACATACACCGACTTTATTCGCCTGTAAAACGTAACAATATAATAAAGTTGTATACAAATTATTTCCATATTAGAGTAAGAACTAATCTATAGTATAAAGTATATTCGTCTACTGGACACATGCCGATGACTACGTTGACACGTCCTAGACGACTTATAATGTCACATAAAAATTAACATTTTAATCTGTGTTCATTTGAAGGATAACCAACAAAAATGTAATAACTGTATTCACCATTTTAAAAATTGTTGTTCTGTTTATAACGAAAAATCCAGCAGCACTAAATTTGGGCCGATATTTTAAAATGTCTATATAGTTCAACCGTTTAATATTTGTATCTGACCGTTGTATGAAATTTTGTTTCTTGCACAGAACCAACAAAATTTGATCATATTCATAAATTATGGAATCACATAACCAAATAGTCCATAACAAAATGACCTACAACAAAAATTTATTAAACTTTAAATTAATTAAATGGAATATCGTACCCAAGCAAAAGAGACAATAAAAAATGTAAGCAGAACAATGATACTCGTAACATCCAACAAGGACTTATCAAAATAACCTGTTTTCAAATAATCTACATATCCTACCCAAGAGTTGACAGTAGCAACAATATTTGAGAAAATTATATATCCAAACATGTTATTAAAAATATCTACAGTTTCTTGTAAAGTGAAGAGATTTCTTTTAATTTTTTTTAGCGACCCGAAAAAGATATGGTGTTTTCTGTAGAGTAGAAACGATTGAGTTCTGTATCTCTCAAGTATCATATTTATAAATACATAAGGTATAAGTAAGTACACGTAGTCGGTATAGAATTGGAAAATTTCGACAAAAAATGTTTTCAAAAATATTGTGCCGTGCAAAATTGCTACCATACAA